GTGTCCCACAACTCCCATCCCCACCTTTCGTTATTTATTCAATCTATTTAGGGGTTTTATGTTCGTTTCTTTTATTGTTAGAGGCCAAACTGATACAAAATAAAACTGGCCCTCACCCTGTTATATTTTAGGCTTCTCCAAGATAAGAAAGAAATATGTTATACAATCCTATAATTTAAATGAAATTGAATGTTCTCTTTTAAATCCAGTATGTGGGTTTTTCTTCTGCCAATACTCGTCTGTGACAGGGAGTAGTAGCTTTTGGTAAATAAAATAAAAGTAATTGAGATGCTCTAACATCTTTGACAAGAAGTAGTAACTTAGGCACACGTTGGTGGAATTTTTATGGACTCCATGTCTTGTATTATGTAATTTCGTGCACAATGGTTGATTTTAATTCTAATTCATTATATCTTGGAAAATAGTCTTGGTACGGGGAAGAGTATAATTTCTTTTGATATTTGTTTGTAGTTTTAAATGAATGTTTATTTTTATTTATTCTGCAAGAAAAATGGCATTTTTGTTCATAATGACAATGTACCAATACACATTCTCGCTGATTTATTTTTGTGGTTGATTACTTATAATAGGTTTCTTCTCTTCTGAGTGGCACTATAAATAAAATATTTATGATTAATTTATCATTTTTTATAGTTTCCGTTTATTTAGTCATGTTTGTTAGCACTTTAGTTTTTTCTCTTAAGTTTCTTACTCTATTTTCTGAGCTCTGTATATTTATGCCCTTTGATAAGACGCTGGGCTATACCATGTGTGTTAACTTGGCTTGATTTTTTATTTCCTTTTAAGATTTTTATTTGACGTACGTTTATAATAAATATGTTTATGATTATACTTCTATAGTTCTATTCCAATATGGTATGTCAATGAATAATGTGTGTACAATTTGTTCCTGTCATAGTTACTAGTTCATTGTCATGCATTGATTCTTAAATATGTAATCCAGGGAGGGGTTTCGTTCAAGATTAGAAAATATTGTCCGTGGTCAAGCAGGCACAAATCCTGATACCACATCAAATAGTAATGCCACTGAAACAAGAGGGGATGAAAACCAAGCAAACAGTATGGTAGATGGCCAACAAGAAAATTATGAACAACAGCAGATTAGGAGCCTGGAAACTGATGTGCGTCAGTTGCCTAATGGAACAGGAACTATGGAGACTAGCACAAGTGAGAGTATTAGTTGGCAAGAAACTGGTAACCAAGGAGGGAATTGGCAGGAACAAATTACTGAGGAAGGGGGAGGAAATTGGCAACATAGTCCATTCAATCAGATGAGAGATGGAAGGGCAGTCAATGATTGGCCACAGGAACCTCCCAGAAATTTAGCTGGGGAAAATCCTCATCCGCGGGAAGCTCAAAGAATTTGGCAAGAAGATAACAATAGGGAAACTGCTGGTAATTGGTCTGATGGACCTTCTGGAGTTTCGAGGAATCACCGTGGGGTTCCTGTTAGAAGATTCAATAGATTTCATCCACCTGATGATGATAATGTATACAGTATGGAGCTTAGAGAACTTCTGAGCAGGTAATTTTTTCCTTTTGGATCTTTTGCCTCAGATGGATTTCAATTTGTCCCAATGGGCCTTTATGAAATGGAAATCAGAGGTGTTTCTCTCAAGAATATCTTGCTTTTCATACAATATCTGTTTTNACTGAGGAAGGGGGAGGAAATTGGCAACATAGTCCATTCAATCAGATGAGAGATGGAAGGGCAGTCAATGATTGGCCACAGGAACCTCCCAGAAATTTAGCTGGGGAAAATCCTCATCCGCGGGAAGGTCAAAGAATTTGGCACGAAGATAACAATAGGGAAACTGCTGGTAATTGGTCTGATGGACCTTCTGGAGTTTCGAGGAATCACCGTGGGGTTCCTGTTAGAAGATTCAATAGATTTCATCCACCTGATGATGATAATGTATACAGTATGGAGCTTAGAGAACTTCTGAGCAGGTAATTTTTTCCTTTTGGATCTTTTGCCTCAGATGGATTTCAATTTGTCCCAATGGGCCTTTATGAAATGGAAATCAGAGGTGTTTCTCTCAAGAATATCTTGCTTTTCATACAATATCTGTTTTACCCTTTACAAAATCTGAACGAGTAGGCAATTTATACATTGAGATTGTACTGAATGTGGTTGATACTTCATTTATTGTCTTTCATTTATTCTAGCCACTGAGCCTTATGATTGTTATGGATTTTTTTTTTGCAAATATTTCAGGAGAAGTGTTTCTAACCTTCTACGCAGTGGTTTCCGCGAAAGTCTGGACCAACTAATACAGTCATATGTGGAAAGGCAAGGTCGTGCACCAATTGACTGGGATTTGCATCGGAACTTGCCGACACCAACTCCTGCTTCACCTGAACGGGACCCAGATCAGCAGACTGGTGAACGTGCTGAGGGTCAGCATGAAACAATTAACAGACCTTCACTGGTGTTGCCATCTCCACCTGTGCCTCCGCCACAACCTCTGTGGCACCAGGATTTACATCAAACTGGATGGTCTCGCCATAGCATGCATCGTTCTGAAATTGTGAGCATCTTTCAGATCTAAATTCCTTGTGGACTTCCATTCATGTAATGTCATGTAGAATAGTATTACGTTACTTCTTTCTTTCTCTTATTTACTGGCAACCAATCTAGGCATTTCTTTGCAGAGTCTTTAGTGGTCACTACCAAGCTAGTAAGCAATCACCTTTTTGTATTGATTGCTACCGTGTTAAATGATGCCACATATTTATTAAGGCGTCCAAGTAAAAGTATTAGTTGAATCTAACAACACCATACTAAAATGAATTCTAGTCTAATTAAAATGAATTCTGGGTAGCTTATAATCTTAGGCTAATTATCGTTTGAAATCTTTGATGTCATTCAGGTATTGAATATTAATTTTCCTTTCTGACAATCGGTCAACTTATTTTACCTCTCATTTCTGGAGTTTTTTCTTAGCCTAAATAGTTTTCATACTGTGTTTTATTAAAATCCTTTTTGAAGTAGTGGTATTGTTTGCTGGTTGGTAGCAGGAGTGGGAGATAATGAATGATTTAAGATCAGATATGGCAAGACTTCAGCAAGGTATGAATCACATGCAGAGGATGTTGGAGGCCTGCATGGATATGCAACTGGAGTTGCAGCGCTCTGTCAGACAGGAAGTATCTGCAGCTCTGAACCGCTCAGCCGGTGAAAACGGTGTGATTTATTTTCTCTTCTGTCAATGCAGTCATTTTTTTTAACTTCGTATGAGGGGTTTAATTCTTTTCATGATAGTGCAACTGTATCGGTTGACTTATTTAAATGTCAGTTATCCGTGTATATCTTTCTTTATATCCTGTTCATATTAGATATTAATTTATTTTGTAGGATTGGGTGCTGAGACATCTGATGATGGGTCTAGATGGGGGCATGTGAAAAAAGGAACTTGCTGTGTTTGTTGTGATAACCATATAGATTCTCTTTTGTACAGGTATTTATACATTATACTGAACATTTCATTTCGGGGTCCGTACTTTATACTCGTAACTTTTCTGAACAATGGTTTTGTTTCTTCCTTTCTCCAAATTGCAATTTCTTGCAGATGCGGGCACATGTGTACTTGTTCAAAATGTGCCAATGAGTTAATTCGTGGTGGTGGTAAGTGTCCTTTATGCCGAGCACCAATTGTTGAGGTGGTCCGAGCATATTCCATACTGTAAAAAGGAAGTTAAAAGGACACGGAGAAGAAAAAAATCTGAGGGTGTTGATGCCAATTCTCAAGGTCTCAGAGGTTCTTATTTATAAGTGTTCAGTAGATGCCATTGTTTTTCTGATTATATGGAACTCCACGAATTGTATATTTTGGATTAACAAATGGCGCTGTTAATTCATCATTCTTACGTAAATAAATAGTTGCCCTGATTATTCTTTCCAAAAAAATTTCGTTGAAAATTCCAATCTTGTATATGAATAAAAACAGAATTACCAAAAAACAGAGATGGTCAATACTTTGCCTCAGTATATCGCAAATAAGAAATGGTTACTTATACTGCATATTTTCAGAATATTTTTTTCTCAAATAATTCTCAACCAGCTTCGGAGACTTAAAAATAACGGGTGTTTAATTTTGTATGTTTTTGGTTTCTTTTAATGTTTAATTGATATTGTCTACATTCTTAACCTTACAATCCTCATCATTACTAGAGGAAATATAATCAAAAGATTTATAGGTTACTCGACTCTAATAGTAACAAATAAGATAAATTGAGCAACAAAAGAAGATAAATTCAGGCACGTTGTGCCTATAACACCCAAAGTATATTAGGTGCTGTATTGCTTGATTTTTTATTTTTCTTCTGTTCTCTTTGCTCGTACAAAAGATATGTTGATCTTGAGTACAAGTTGATTCAAAGTAAGGGCTTGCATGAAATTTAATTTACTGTATTTTGGCCTTTAAGTCAATTGATTACTGGAATAGTTAGTTTTATGTGTAACGTATATTCCCTAGCGTTTGCTTAAATGTTGTAGTAATTTAAGCATTCGCAAACGTGTAAAAACATTAATAAGTTCTCTATTACAACAAATAAATGCAAGAAGCAGGTAAAGAAACATGTTGGAACAACCTAAGTGAAACTGTAAAATAACATATTACCTCCTTTCAAGATTATACGTACACATCCAAAGCTATTTGCCTGCTACCTTACCTAAATGAAAGCTAATTTCCCGTGTGTTTATTTAATAACGTGATGTTGGGGAAAAGGATTTGCAAGGATGGCGACGTCATGAAGAGCGAGTTTAAGTTTTGTTTATTGATGCGCATGTTATAATATAGCCACCACTTTTCTTTGTTAGGATATTGGCCGCGACGTCGCAATATTGTTATTTAATTTTGGAAGCGTGACAGTAGTGCTTCCTGTTAGTTTAACTTGTACAACAATCATCATTGAATCTTGGTAAATCTCGATAAATTCAACTAAATAGTTATTGCTGATTTGCTGTGAAGCGTTGCTACATGAAATTTTAACAAGATAACGCAGGCATAATTGGTGGCAAATAGAGTGGAGAAAGAACTAGTAGGAATGGAATTTCATGGACCTGAAAGCCAGGTTCTTTGGATTGAAAACCCATAAAATAATGATTTCGAAATTAGGAAAAGTTAAAATCAGCTACATTGTTATGACTTGCAGTCTTGTACAGAAAAAGGAACAAAGAGAATGGTTCTAATGTAAACGATCTGGCAAGAATGACCCTTCACTGGATTTGGTACTGCTTCAGTTATCCTGTTCCTGCAGAACCAAAGTTATGAACCCCATTATCTTTTTGGCGCAGTTTGAAAGAATAAAAAATAAATTAACTGTTTTTGTTTTTGTACATACCTGTAAAAATGTTCAAATCATGTATGGCAGTGTTAGAAGTACTGCAATCTTTGGCGTCATAATGGTCTTCTTTTACATCCTTCTTTTGTTTCAGCCTTTCTTCAAGATCTTTAACCTTGTTCTTGTACTCTTCATTCTCTTGTTGAAGAAAATCTTTCTTCCTGTGAAGCTCAGCATTGTCTTTTGTCATTTGGGCAATTTCATACTTTAACTGGGCATTATTGATACAGGAAGCTTCTTTTGTTTTTAGATTCCATTGCAGCCGTAGGATTTGTTCCTCAAACTCAATTTTACTGCGCTTGCAGTCCTCCAACTCAGATGTAACTTTCTCAGTGGTTGAGATTCTTCCAATATAAGATGCATTCTTGGCCTTCAGCTCCTCAAACTCCAAGGATAGCGTCTGATATGAAGCTTCCAATCTTCTGAATTCAAATTCTGCTTCATACAGTGATCTCTTGAGGATAAAGATTTCATCTTGAAGCATTTCTGTTTTCTGAAGTTGAACTTCTAGTTCAAATATTTCTTCAGTTGCTTGTAGCCACTCTAGTTAAGAGGCTTTCAATTCTGCTTCGAGCCCTCTAACAGTGCCCTTCAGTTTCTCCTCGTTTGATTTGACGTTATCCAACAAAGCAACTACTTTTTCATAATTAACATTAAGAGTTTCTTGGTCTGCCTTGGAGGTTGCCAGTTCTTCGGTATAATTTTGTATCATGACTTTGTATTCAGCTTGAAGATTATCAAGCTTGGCTTGATGTAGCCTTCCTTTCTCCTGTTCTTGTTGAAGAGCAGCTTCAATCATAGCTTTATCAGCACATAAATCATAGACCTCAAGTACAGTATTAGAAGCCATCGTCTTGTGTCTATCACAGATACAAGAGATCTGGTCTCTTAAGTGTTCAACCTCTTTCTGCAAGTAACCTACCTCAGTTGTTTTTTCTAAATTCGTCTGTGTTAACAATTTCTCTTCAATAATGAACCTTTCTTCTTGCTTTCTGCTTTCCTCAAGAATGGAATCAAGATCTACATTAATGGTTTTTTCTTTCAAAGCTATTTCTTCCTGCATTGAAGTAAATTTGTATTCCAATTTTTGAATTAGTTTCAACATATCAGAAAATGCAATATGTGATTCCCCCAATTTAGAATCTAATACTGTACATTGGCCATGCAAGTCCAAATTTTTCATTCTTAACTCATCATTTGTTGTTTGAAGAGTTTTAGATTCTTCAATCAATTCTTCATTTGTAGCTTGTAATTCTAAGTTGGCTACTTTCAGAAAGCTGCACTCCTCTTGAGCTTCTTTCCATTTTTTCTGCATGCTTTCCTCCTTTCTTTTCAATTCAACTTCTTGTGCCTCATTCAATCCTTCCATTCTTCTGATCTCATCCTGGAGATTTTTTACAACATTTTCAGTATTCTTCAGTGCCAAATTAGTCGACTCCTTTTCTTCAATCAAATGTCTCATTTCAGCTTCTAAGCTAAGTACCCTTTCAGAAAACTGTTCCTTTTCTGCTTCTAGTCCAAACAAAATATTGCCTTCATCATCACAACTTGCAAAAGATGGATTCCTTACACGATCTTTGCTGATCAAAGCGTGGGAGTCCTTTGTCCAATAATGAAACTTCATATCGTTTGGAAAATCAGCTAAGCAACTAGAAGAAATTTTGGATTGCAAATAAGCAACTTCAGTTTCCAGTTGTAACTTGGAATATCTTAGACAGGTTTTCTCCTTCCCTGACATATTGTGAGATTTAACCTTGTTCGTCTCTGCAGATTCAACCTGTTGATTTTTCATCTCTGGTGGAATATGAGACATTAATTTTTCCTGTATATTTCTCAATTCCTGACAAGAAATACAGACTATATTTTCCCTTACACTGCAATCTCTAACTTCATTCTGATATACATTATCATCTCTGATTTTTCTCCCAACTAACTCATCTTGAGAATTAATCTTGTACTCAAAGGAAGAAGTTTTTGTTTCAAGCAACTTCTTCAACAGGATAATGGTACATAGGATTGCTTCAGACAATTCCTTTAAATCTATTTTTCCCACATCTTTTGAGAGATCTGATATACTGAAACAATTCTCATTCTTGGTTAATGTCATTTGACTCAGAAGATTCTCTTGACCCCTCAGTTTTTCTACTGAAAGCTGCAGCTGCTTATATAACTCAAGGAACAATTCAACGATGTTGATAGTACTACTATCAGAGCAAAAGAGTGGAAAGTTAGAAGAAAAGGAACTAGAAATTATCAGATTCTTTCTGGACTCTCCTTGTTCCTCACAATATTCAGCTTCAAGATCTTGCACCCTTTGTGTTAAAGATAAGATTTCATTGCCAAAAGCATAAACACCATCAGACAACCTCTTTTCAAAGTTGATGATTTGTTTGCCTTTCTCAAACAGCCTACTCTTCCATTTTGCCTCATTTTCTTCTAATGTTTGAGCCATAAAACATCTTGCAGTTTGCATCTCTTTATCTTTGTCGTTCAGAGTTTTCTCCAGAAACTGGATAGTACTTTCCATATTTTTGTGCTTCTCCTGCATAAGTTGGTGCTCAAGTTCCAAGTTCCGGAATTCCTGTAGTTCAATCCCTTCATGCAGGCATCTTATTGCATTTTCATAAGTGCCAAGATCAATATCTGAATGACAAAACTCCTTTTTCATTTTCTCTGGTAGCACTTCCTTGCTTAAACTAAAGTCCTCTTCCTCACTGTCTTCAGGCACACAGCTACTAATGTCAACATCTTGAAACGGCAAACAATTCATTGATAGACCAGCAATCTTCATTCTCTGCTTTTCTTTTATCTTTTCTAGTTTCTGTAGGATGGAAACAAGATCAATTTTTGACTCATGTGTTTGCTTTATCAACTCCAAGTCACAATTAAGTCCTTTCTGATACTTGATCTCATTCTTCAACTCCTTTATTGTATTATCCATTTCTTCGATCTGGAGCTTAAGATTTCTGCTGTCATTTTGCTTTATCCCTGAGGTTAGTAGTTGAATTTCATCCTTCAATGCATCAATCTCTTTGCGTGATGCTGACAACTCCATTTCCAGTTCTTTTTTATTCTTCGATTTCTTGTTTAAATGCTTTTGCAGTCTCTCCACATCAACCATCAACTTTGTAGCATTTTCTTCCCACATCTTTGCTTCACCATGAAGTAAATCAATGGTTACTTGTGCCACACCCAGAAGATCTTTAGATGAACCAACACTCCTTGTCGACGTCGTGTCGCTGGCATGTGAAACTTTCCCAAGCTCTTCTATTTTACCTTGAACCGGTGTCCTCGAACTTGAGGTTACTGGAGATGAATGTATTGATCCGGAGGCATCATATGATGGATAGTGGATATTTTCAGAGTAAGTTGAATCTTGTCTCTCATTCATATTCTTCTTCAGTCCACTGACATTGCTTTGTTGGGGGAGCTTCCCGATCCAGAAGGACAAGGAGCTCCCAGTATCGTGATCTGAACATGTTGCCAGTGGACTTATTCTCTGTAACATCAGAAAGTGATTTTATCAATTTATTGTCTTAGAGGAAAACCAACTTGAAGAAGAACTTATCAAAAGAGGAAAGAGGACAAAAATTACAACGAAAATATACTTGTATATACTCTGGGAGTTATGGGAATAATTAGTATAGTTCTTTGCAAAGAAAAGATAGATCGGGAATGGTTTGCACAGGTGCATGTGAATATGCTTTTACGAGTATCACGCTTAATGATTTCAAGCAACTAGTAGGTTTGCTTCATGTAAGTCGTAATCAGTAGAATCTAAATTCTTCTTCTTAAGTACAACCCTGATTACTAGGTGTGTTTCAAATAATAAAGTGGAGACTAATTATTTCAAGGGAAAAGAGAAATCAATGAACACGAAGGAATTGCGTCACTGAAATGATAGTACTTGATGACTCTTACCAAAATACAAGAGTTTTCATTTACCAGGAACATTGAACATTCCACTATTAACATGTACAATTGTTTGACTAAAGACTGAAACACAGGACATTGGAAGGTATAAAAGGTTGATTACATGGAAGTTGATTAACTAAACAATCCACATACCTTACTGCTAAGTTCTCTTCGATGATATATATTTTCTTGATAGTCCCAATATGGAGATCCACTAGTCCTGCTGAATGTATTGTCAGATACATCAGATATGCTGTCTACATCATCAGAACAAACACTCATTTCTTCCACAAATGAATTTGCTCCCTTCCTGTGTAATCCCATAAGAATAATACATAAATATATTTTTTTATAAAAAGCAAACATAACTTAAAGCAGAATAGTTATTCTAAAAGCAGAAGACCTGTGTTTGCTTCTCGGGGTCAAACATTGAATTTTAACCTGAAGAAAAGAGAGAAGATAAGATTTTTGACAACTGCACAAAAACTAAGATTTAAGAAAGGCAAACCAACTTTTATCTAAAAGCTGAAATCATGATTTTCGACCACAACTGAAAACCTTCTACTGATTCTATTAATTTCTAGATGTATGAATTGCATCTTAGAATACCTATGATCTTGTTTTGTCATTGGGTGTTCAAATTCACCGGCAATTGAAATTAATATGCTTTTCTAAACCACTGAATACGTTTTCAGAAATTTTGGGACTTGGAGGTGTTTCTACAAAAATTAAGGCATTTTCTTATCGAGTACTGTATTAAACTTCACTGGTAATTATAAAAAAAGTATAAAAAATTGGACAAATTGACGATGTCCGTGTTCTACAGTAGTATGGGGGAGTAAAACTTGCTGAAAACTGGTAATAGCCCAAGGTTATTAACAAGTTTGTTGCATTTAATAATGTAATTGAAGAAAGAGAATTCTTACTTGTAAGATTGTCCCATGGGAACATTGTCTCAAAGGCAATGATGCAGTACTCACATCTGGTCTAATGTAAGTTGCTAAATTAATGATAGCCTCCCCAAGAGTCCCAAATCTCGCAGATCCCTAACGGCCATTGAATTTCAGGTTCAGTAAGTTATACTGCACAATGTTTAGGGTGATCAAACACACTGCTGATTGGAATTTACCTCGGCACCAATAATGAATATGATTAGAGGTTAAATCTTATCATATGTTTGTGTAAAATTGATTTATACCATATATTAAATAAACAAAATCAAATGTGAAGCATGGTAATGAATGTAACCAACAGACCATGGCAACAACAAGCTTAAGGAGGAAGCTTTCATTGTTTTGTAAAAGATCCTCAGAAATCCACATGGTACTTAGCATCGAATCTTCCCAATGACACTTCCCATTTTGTACTGATGCTTTGCCAGACTTGGCTATGGTTTCCCCTGTTTCTATGGAAATAATGGAAACAAAAAGATTGTTCCACCCTTTTTCTATCTGCAATATAATAATAATAATAATAGTAAGTAACCATGAACCTTTTTAATACTAAGAAGTAGAGTTAGAAAAAAAAACCTCCAGAGCGTGGAAATCATAGAATTTGAAATCTAATCTCTCCTGGAATTTATCTCTGCTATGCCTGCTCAAATTGCATGTTTTCTTTTTCCCTTTTCTCTCATAATAGGCTTCAACTCTGTCACATTGAACCGATTCACGTCACATAATTTGCTACAATAATGAGATGTGCATAGTTTATAGATTAATAAGAAAGAAACATATAGATGAATTTGTTATTTTTTTTCTTTTTACGGAAATTCATATTCATGAGAACGATACCAACTACACCGAGCCAAACTTATGTAAGAAATTGATATCATTTTCAACCCAAACATTAAAGAAAACGAGTTAATGGTCTTCTTGTTTAACTTTGTGAGACTAAAACTAAAACTAAAACTTGATTTTCAGAATATGTTCTTCCTTGTACAATTGCTCATAGTATAACTAGCTATTCACATTAATAAAAAATAAATACGATTCATTTTGGGTTTTATTAGGATCATAAAGTTTAGAGTAATGGTGGATGTGGTTATGAAGAACGTAGTGTATCTTAGGAATAGCAAAATAAATTTTACCTTGACACTGACATGGGCCTTCCACTTGTATATGCAGTGCAGAGAGTAGTAAAGTGTGATAATAGCAGGGGTATGTAAATTGTGGAAAAGAACAAGAAGGTTTATATACATATGTGCTAACTAACCCCATTCTTAGACGGCAAGAACTTTAAAAAGCACTTTTGGAAAAAGTTGATTGAATAATGAAATGGGGAAGGGAAGTAAGCACTTATGATTTGTGATTTCTTGCGGTCCAATGGTAAGTTTTGGTTTCGTCATTTTCATTACATAAAAAAAAANCATTTTCTTCCCACATCTTTGCTTCACCATGAAGTAAATCAATGGTTACTTGTGCCACACCCAGAAGATCTTTAGATGAACCAACACTCCTTGTCGACGTCGTGTCGCTGGCATGTGAAACTTTCCCAAGCTCTTCTATTTTACCTTGAACCGGTGTCCTCGAACTTGAGGTTACTGGAGATGAATGTATTGATCCGGAGGCATCATATGATGGATAGTGGATATTTTCAGAGTAAGTTGAATCTTGTCTCTCATTCATATTCTTCTTCAGTCCACTGACATTGCTTTGTTGGGGGAGCTTCCCGATCCAGAAGGACAAGGAGCTCCCAGTATCGTGATCTGAACATGTTGCCAGTGGACTTATTCTCTGTAACATCAGAAAGTGATTTTATCAATTTATTGTCTTAGAGGAAAACCAACTTGAAGAAGAACTTATCAAAAGAGGAAAGAGGACAAAAATTACAACGAAAATATACTTGTATATACTCTGGGAGTTATGGGAATAATTAGTATAGTTCTTTGCAAAGAAAAGATAGATCGGGAATGGTTTGCACAGGTGCATGTGAATATGCTTTTACGAGTATCACGCTTAATGATTTCAAGCAACTAGTAGGTTTGCTTCATGTAAGTCGTAATCAGTAGAATCTAAATTCTTCTTCTTAAGTACAACCCTGATTACTAGGTGTGTTTCAAATAATAAAGTGGAGACTAATTATTTCAAGGGAAAAGAGAAATCAATGAACACGAAGGAATTGCGTCACTGAAATGATAGTACTTGATGACTCTTACCAAAATACAAGAGTTTTCATTTACCAGGAACATTGAACATTCCACTATTAACATGTACAATTGTTTGACTAAAGACTGAAACACAGGACATTGGAAGGTATAAAAGGTTGATTACATGGAAGTTGATTAACTAAACAATCCACATACCTTACTGCTAAGTTCTCTTCGATGATATATATTTTCTTGATAGTCCCAATATGGAGATCCACTAGTCCTGCTGAATGTATTGTCAGATACATCAGATATGCTGTCTACATCATCAGAACAAACACTCATTTCTTCCACAAATGAATTTGCTCCCTTCCTGTGTAATCCCATAAGAATAATACATAAATATATTTTTTTATAAAAAGCAAAAATAACTTAAAGCAGAATAGTTATTCTAAAAGCAGAAGACCTGTGTTTGCTTCTCGGGGTCAAACATTGAATTTTAACCTGAAGAAAAGAGAGAAGATAAGATTTTTGACAACTGCACAAAAACTAAGATTTAAGAAAGGCAAACCAACTTTTATCTAAAAGCTGAAATCATGATTTTCGACCACAACTGAAAACCTTCTACTGATTCTATTAATTTCTAGATGTATGAATTGCATCTTAGAATACCTATGATCTTGTTTTGTCATTGGGTGTTCAAATTCACCGGCAATTGAAATTAATATGCTTTTCTAAACCACTGAATACGTTTTCAGAAATTTTGGGACTTGGAGGTGTTTCTACAAAAATTAAGGCATTTTCTTATCGAGTACTGTATTAAACTTCACTGGTAATTATAAAAAAAGTATAAAAAATTGGACAAATTGACGATGTCCGTGTTCTACAGTAGTATGGGGGAGTAAAACTTGCTGAAAACTGGTAATAGCCCAAGGTTATTAACAAGTTTGTTGCATTTAATAATGTAATTGAAGAAAGAGAATTCTTACTTGTAAGATTGTCCCATGGGAACATTGTCTCAAAGGCAATGATGCAGTACTCACATCTGGTCTAATGTAAGTTGCTAAATTAATGATAGCCTCCCCAAGAGTCCCAAATCTCGCAGATCCCTAACGGCCATTGAATTTCAGGTTCAGTAAGTTATACTGCACAATGTTTAGGGTGATCAAACACACTGCTGATTGGAATTTACCTAGGCACCAATAATGAATATGATTAGAGGTTAAATCTTATCATATGTTTGTGTAAAATTGATTTATACCATATATTAAATAAACAAAATCAAATGTGAAGCATGGTAATGAATGTAACCAACAGACCATGGCAACAACAAGCTTAAGGAGGAAGCTTTCATTGTATTGTAAAAGATCCTCAGAAATCCACATGGTACTTAGCATCGAATCTTCCCAATGACACTTCCCATTTTGTACTGATGCTTTGCCAGACTTGGCTATGGTTTCCCCTGTTTCTATGGAAATAATGGAAACAAAAAGATTGTTCCACCCTTTTTCTATCTGCAATATAATAATAATAATAATAGTAAGTAACCATGAACCTTTTTAATACTAAGAAGTAGAGTTAGAAAAAAAAACCTCCAGAGCGTGGAAATCATAGAATTTGAAATCTAATCTCTCCTGGAATTTATCTCTGCTATGCCTGCTCAAATTGCATGTTTTCTTTTTCCCTTTTCTCTCATAATAGGCTTCAACTCTGTCACATTGAACCGATTCACGTCACATAATTTGCTACAATAATGAGATGTGCATAGTTTATAGATTAATAAGAAAGAAACATATAGATGAATTTGTTATTTTTTTTCTTTTTACGGAAATTCATATTCATGAGAACGATACCAACTACACCGAGCCAAACTTATGTAAGAAATTGATATCATTTTCAACCCAAACATTAAAGAAAACGAGTTAATGGTCTTCTTGTTTAACTTTGTGAGACTAAAACTAAAACTAAAACTTGATTTTCAGAATATGTTCTTCCTTGTACAATTGCTCATAGTATAACTAGCTATTCACATTAATAAAAAATAAATACGATTCATTTTGGGTTTTATTAGGATCATAAAGTTTAGAGTAATGGTGGATGTGGTTATGAAGAACGTAGTGTATCTTAGGAATAGCAAAATAAATTTTACCTTGACACTGACATGGGCCTTCCACTTGTATATGCAGTGCAGAGAGTAGTAAAGTGTGATAATAGCAGGGGTATGTAAATTGTGGAAAAGAACAAGAAGGTTTATATACATATGTGCTAACTAACCCCATTCTTAGACGGCAAGAACTTTAAAAAGCACTTTTGGAAAAAGTTGATTGAATAATGAAATGGGGAAGGGAAGTAAGCACTTATGATTTGTGATTTCTTGCGGTCCAATGGTAAGTTTTGGTTTCGTCATTTTCATTACATAAAAAAAAACAGTACTAAAAATATTAGATCGATTAAAAGTTAAATTAATTTAAAATGTATATGAATGTAAAGTACAAATTAGATTTAAGATTAAATTAAACTTAAAATTCATTTTTTAATTTAAGTTAGAGTCAATCTTAAGATTTGTATTAATTAAATATATCATTTCGTCTAATCTAATGTAGGACGACCCATTAGTATTACATTTTTTTTACAGTAAAAAGTCAAAAGAATTGTGTTTGGTAAACGATTTTAAACCTCATTTGTAAGGACAAAGTATTTAACAAAATATTGAGCGTGACTAACGTATTTTATTCCGAGTTTGAAAGTCTTAAAACCATGGTTTAAGCGTATTAGACAGCTTTTTTTTTATTATTTAAATTATGGTTTCAAGCTTTCCAAACACAAAACGACGTGAATTTATTTTATTTTATCTTTTAAATTATGGGTGATTGAAAAATGAAGCATTGAATTGTATTCAAATAGTTGATCGATGACAAACGTGATTCAGAAAGGAAATTGAGCTAAAATAACGAGTTGAGTTTTCCCACAAAAATTAGTCATCAATAAAAAAAATCGCACCTATAAGACATTAACGATAGTAGATATATATATATTCATAATTTTGAATGTAAATTGGTAGATAAGAAGATTACTGGAGATCAATGTTGTATCTTTCGTACCATTGAGGAGATATTAACAAGGATAAGCCAAAATAAGTTTTTCATCACAACCTTCTTGTTAATAATAGGAATATGAGATTGTGAATGTTTTAATTTAGAGAATATAGTATATTCTATTTGAAAGTCTAGGTTATTGATTTAAATAATCCATTATAATTTTTTTTAGATTAAATGTATTTTTAAAAATATTATTTTAATTTTAATTGTCCTGAAAGATAATTGAAAGTAATCAAATTAAACAAAGTAAAACATTCTTGAACGCAAATAATCATATAATATATATAAAAATATAAATAAATTTATTGTTTTTATATGATATTATTATATTTAATTAATTTTTCTTATAAATCATTAAGTAGTGAAAATATATTATTGAATAAATTATAATTAGTATAAAATTCCATGCCTGTATATATTATTGAAACACACATTAAAAAAATATTGTTTTATTTTTGTTTTATAAATTATTTAAAAAACAATCGAATATGTATTCACGTAACATATAAATAATTTTGTTGATAAAAATTATAAGGAGAATAAATTTCCTAGAAAAAATAAAATCCATAATAATTCTGGTGATATACAACATCCGTAGCAAAGGTTTTACAAGTAAGTCCACAGGTAAATGTATTTTTTACGGAAAATATTGGTGAATGTGCCCGAAAATTTCACAAATAATTTTTGAAGCAGAAAAATGTAAAAATCAAATACTTTTCTTATTTTGTAAATAACACATGACTCTATAGTTTTAAATTTAATTATTATTGTTTTATTATAATAACATTTAGTTTACAAAATATTAAAAAATTATTTAAATTAATGACTTTTGTATATAAAAAAGAACAATAATATATTAAATTTTAATTGGGTAAGTTAACTGATTTTTCACAACAAAGGCTAAACATTTATTACAACATATTATTTCTATTAGACATCTGGTATATCAGATATAGCAAATGCAATCCTATTTTATATATGAGAAGCAGGAGAGTCTTTTTTATTGTTGAAATGAAGAAGAATAAATCTTAAGATGCAGCAGAAGAAGAACCACTGATCTTTAAAGTCTGTATTTGTTCTTTAATCTCATCTAACTCATTTCTCGTTATCATTTTCTGTTCTTGGAGTGATTTGTTTAATGCTTCAATTTGACTTCTTAAAGCATCCACATCCTTTGACCTTCCAAAAATCTTTGCCAGTGGAAACAAATATACAACACCAAGACCAAAACTCCTTCTTTTGTTCACATTTATGGTTGAATCTACCCTTGTACTTAAATCAGATGGAACATCATTTCCAGACAATTGATTATCAACTTCGTTCTCTTCTGATATGGACTGGTATCAGAAATAGTGGACAATAGTCAAATTTGGAATAAAAGGTTTACATGCAATACAACAAGATGAAAATGTATATATCCAGAAGCACCAAGAAAAGTTCACAGAGCTAAAGCAAAAACCAGTAATTATGACTTGTTTGATTGAATTACTACGTAATTAAACTTAAAAACATTTCTTAATTACCTTAATTTCTTCAGTGGACTTTCGAACAAGATACTTTAAAACTCCTTCAAAAAAAAGCAGCATGTCAGTTTGAGAAATCCTAAATAGACAACAAGATGTAGCACAATGAAACAAAACATCTGTTCACCTTTTCGTAGTCTTGACTTGGGTTTGCTGCTATGGCTTGAAAGTTTTAACTGCTCCTTCTTCCTCTGAAAGCTTTATTTGCTCACGAAATATTGAAACCAAAAACATATCCACCATCAATTTTGAACACTCCCGTAAACAATAACAATCTAGAAACTCTCTAATTTTAACTTCATTGCTCCGACACACACAAAAAACAAATATATAATTTCACACACACGTACGTGTTGTCCAATCATCTACATTTTTAGGGCAATGGACAGTAATGATGATTGGAAATGGAATTGATAAGCATGTACCAAATTAGGGCTTGATTACAGGATTTAAAAAGAAGTATTCAATTTTTTATGCAGATTAAAATCTGCTAAAAAATGCTAATGAGAAAAAGATGATGCATGCATTTGTAGTAATATAGTGGAGAAGACACTCACTAGGCAATGAAACAAAGGCTATTATTATGAAGAATACGTTTCTTCACTTCGTCGTTTGAACTGGTCACTGCCTCTTGTCTTTGGGTTAATACTCCCATTTTTTTTCCTTTCTATTATTTGTATGTTTTTTCAATCCAAGAATGTTGAGTCCAAGGCTTCTTTATATATATATATATATATATATATANATGTATTCACGTAACATATAAATAATTTTGTTGATAAAAATTATAAGGAGAATAAATTTCCTAGAAAAAATAAAATCCATAATAATTCTGGTGATATACAACATCCGTAGCAAAGGTTTTACAAGTAAGTCCACAGGTAAATGTATTTTTTACGGAAAATATTGGTGAATGTGCCCGAAAATTTCACAAATAATTTTTGAAGCAGAAAAATGTAAAAATCAAATACTTTTCTTATTTTGTAAATAACACATGACTCTATAGTTTTAAATTTAATTATTATTGTTTTATTATAATAACATTTAGTTTACAAAATATTAAAAAATTATTTAAATTAATGACTTTTGTATATAAAAAAGAACAATAATATATTAAATTTTAATTGGGTAAGTTAACTGATTTTTCACAACAAAGGCTAAACATTTATTACAACATATTATTTCTATTAGACATCTGGTATATCAGATATAGCAAATGCAATCCTATTTTATATATGAGAAGCAGGAGAGTCTTTTTTATTGTTGAAATGAAGAAGAATAAATCTTAAGATGCAGCAGAAGAAGAACCACTGATCTTTAAAGTCTGTATTTGTTCTTTAATCTCATCTAACTCATTTCTCGTTATCATTTTCTGTTCTTGGAGTGATTTGTTTAATGCTTCAATTTGACTTCTTAAAGCATCCACATCCTTTGACCTTCCAAAAATCTTTGCCAGTGGAAACAAATATACAACACCAAGACCAAAACTCCTTCTTTTGTTCACATTTATGGTTGAATCTACCCTTGTACTTAAATCAGATGGAACATCATTTCCAGACAATTGATTATCAACTTCGTTCTCTTCTGATATGGACTGGTATCAGAAATAGTGGACAATAGTCAAATTTGGAATAAAAGGTTTACATGCAATACAACAAGATGAAAATGTATATATCCAGAAGCACCAAGAAAAGTTCACAGAGCTAAAGCAAAAACCAGTAATTATGACTTGTTTGATTGAATTACTACGTAATTAAACTTAAAAACATTTCTTAATTACCTTAATTTCTTCAGTGGACTTTCGAACAAGATACTTTAAAACTCCTTCAAAAAAAAGCAGCATGTCAGTTTGAGAAATCCTAAATAGACAACAAGATGTAGCACAATGAAACAAAACATCTGTTCACCTTTTCGTAGTCTTGACTTGGGTTTGCTGCTATGGCTTGAAAGTTTTAAC